TTATTATAATTATTGTTATTATTAACATATAAACCCCATACAGAACCACATTAATACAGAGGAAAATTAAGTCAGTCACTATAAGTGTCATTGTTTTGGAAAAACGTTTTTTTGACCAAAGTTTCCCCCCCCCACAGTGCATTTAATTTTGTTGTGATATCAACAGAGTGATAATGTGTATAAATAAAACTTCCAAAGTTAAACTTTGCAGGTTTATTTTCTAGTTTTTGTAAATGTAGCTTCTTGGTACTTTTCGCTCTATGATAATACATTTGTGAGGGGAAAAAAACGTTTTCTTTTCTTCACTGAAATATCTCTATGCACTCAAAAGAACAGTTTTTCTGAATATGAAGTAAACAACTATATACAAACTTTTATGGTTTACATGTTTTTTTTTTCAACTGCTGGTGTTGAATCTAGTACTGCAACCAGTATTTGAATCGGCACAATATTTATAGTTTCCTGGTGTTTACTATCTAAACGGAAAAACGTTTTACGTCAGGTGAGCTTTGCTTATATTGAGACATCAAAATATACTATTTTTTTTCCAACTCTGGGCTATTGTTTGAAAACAAGAAGTGACATTACTCCACTAGTGGATCAACCAGTAAATTGAGTTTAGATTGACAAGTTTTTTTAATTACAGGCTTGAGTCTAGGTTATGTCAGACTGTAGCCACAATTTTCTGAAGTAACAGTGCACAATTCTGCTGCTGTCAGGGTTTGCAGCAGTCCCACCGCTGACACCATGAATGTCACAGACTCGTTATAAAATATTGTGGAAGCACAGATGGAGCAGTTAGGAGGCCAGAATTAAAAGAGTGAAGGTTGCGAGATGGGGAGTAGGGCGATAATAGTTCAGACAGGTACTGAGGTGCCAAGCCATGCAGAGCCTCATAGGTGAGCATGTGGATTTTAAAGTCCACACGGAATTTGACAGGATGTGATCCCTTGCACTAGACCTGGTCAGGATTCTGGCTGCCGAATTTTGGACATACTGCAGTTTATTCAATGTAGCTTTAATTACGCCAGCGAGTAGAGCATTACAGTAGTCAATCCGGGAAAGAACAAATGTGTTGATCAGCTTTTCAGCCACAGTTAGTGATAACATAGGGCCTAGTCTAGCAATATTTCTAAGGGTGAGAAAAAGATGTTTTGACTATATGCTGCACATGTGTGTCGAATGTTAAGCCAGGATCAAATATCACCCCAGGGTTTAATAATGCCTAATAATGACACAGCTACAGTTGCATAGAAGTGCACAGGTGTTTTTTGGGAACTGTCCTCTGGAAAGGAGGGGGAGAACAAGATAAGAGGAAGGTTGTGTAGTAGTTCTGAATAGGAGCTCCATGCAGCAGATTATTTTTTGAAAGTAATCAGTGTACATATTCCTGTAAATGTAGTTTGTTATATAGTTTTGTGGTTAATTGCTATTTTCCTCAGTGTTTTTGTTGTGTGTGGACTTTTGGGAACACCACTCCTCGTAATAAACACTTTTGCACTTCTATGCAATTGTGGCTACGCCATCGTTATTGTTCAGCTCCATCTGTGCTTCCAAATTATTCAATGACGAGACTGTATAACAGCTACCAATGGTAGTCTTGAAATTAGTCAGCTCCTGGAAAACCACTCAGTTGGCAGGTCCAAACTAAATGAGTTTATAACATAAAACAGTTGATCCTAATTCTTTTAAGAAAGAAAACTAGGAGCCTGTCATATTATATTAATACACATCAGAAGTTTGGAGAAAAGATCTAGACAATATATCAGTCTTCAATCGGCTGCTTAGAGGAGCCCGTGGTTGTTGAGAGTAAGACAATATCCTGAGAGGGACAACTCTGTCTTCACCTGGCTTACTTTAAGGCCTAATGAGTCAATCAAGTTTTGAGGCCTTAAAATATATTAATGAATCATCTGGAACATTTTTCAATATGTTAAATTCAGCAAATAAATAGTAATTGTGCATCATGTCATGTTAAGGGTTGTACTGCAGAGGTTGTGTTAACTTCTTTTCACTTCGAGTTTAAGTGCAACATGCAATTTGACCAGGGTGGGGGCCAAACCTTTGCATACAACTGTACCAGGACAATATTGATCTTTTTTTTAAATTTAAATTCTTTATTCAAAACTGTGATTTTAAACTTCTGAAGATGACTGCTGTTCATGCTTCAGTGGGAAAGTTTGTGTGAGTCCTCATCACCTCTGAAGTACAGTGTAAACATCATCCACACATCATCCATTATTTTCTGCGGTGCAGCCAGAGCCTATCCAGCAAACAGGGCAGGGCAGTTCTTCACAGGGCACACGCACACCAGGACCAGTTTTGCCAGAAGCCAGTTCACTTACCAGTATGGCTTTGGACTGTGGGAAGGAAACCAGAGCACCTGGTGGAAACCCACTCGGACACAGTTGGACCCAACAAACTCCTGGTGGCGAATTGAATCCGGGACCCCCGCGCTGCGAGGCATGTTAACCACTGTGCCTGTTTGAACTTAATTTTTGTCTGTAAATATCTTTTGTCACTGGAGATTGTTTTTTTTTTTTTGCCTTTCAGAGGAACGGCTGTAATCTGAAAAGCAATCAGCAAACTTTATTTTTGGTACAGGGCTTCTCTTATACAATACAATTAACACATGTATTGTTTTGCATTCCCAGAATGATGTCCGAGTGAAGTTTGAATATAGAGGAGAAAAAAGGCAAGTAATATATCTATTTTGGAAAAAGCAGACATTTGTTCCACATTTCCCTGAAGAGCACAGTATAGTTTCTATATGTTATTTCTTATGTTTTAGAATTCTGCAGTTTCCTCGCCCCGTGAAACTAGATGACCTATTTTCTAAAGCAAAGGTGGCCTTTGGTCAAGCAATGGACCTACATTACACAAATAATGAGGTACTGTGTTATAGTTCAATAGCCAACGACATTCCCACACTCACTTCAAGCTGAATGCATAATCATAAAGTATACCATCTAATAGTTTTAACATTAAAGTACATATTAATAAAATCTCTTTTTACTTGTTTTTGTTCATTTTTCATTACAATTTACTATGGATGGATGTTTACCCCATGCCTTCAAGCATGTAGGGGCAGCAGCACCCTGTTGCTGTTTCTGTAACATTTGGGTTCTTACGCGACAAGGTTGTTAGCCTTGAGCCCAACCTCCAAAATGGAGGACCTGGCGCCGGACGTGGGACACAAACCCACTACCCTGAGATTATGAGTCTCGTGCTCTACCAACAGAGCTAGTCGGGGCTACTATGGTAAATTTAAAGTGAGAATATTTTTATACCACCACTCTGTCTTATGCATTCCCCTGTGGGTAATTTCTTTTAGTACTGAAACATGTGCGAGAGACTTTCTTTTTGCCTCTTGTAACCTATGATATTGTCCTCTCTTCCTGTAGCTGGTTATACCTCTGACCACACAGGATGACCTGGATAAGGCCATTGAGTTACTGGATCGCAGTGTCCACATGAAGAGCTTGAAGATACTGTTAGTCTTGCAAGGGAACAATCAGGTACGAGAGAGAGAGAGAAGACTTTAAGTGTTTTCCTCCAGGTGTTTGGAGGTCCTGCCTTTGTAGCGTGGGGAGTTCTGTCAAAAGGATTGGTGGACCAGTTAATAAAAACAGCCACGCCACTTTCAATTAATCTTCCATCATTGTGCAGGTTGTGTAGCTCCTCATTCTCTTCCAATAAGTATAAGTCGTTTTGTATCAGGATTTTATATCTGAAGTCATTTAGAGCATGATGAATGACGGATTGCCGAACAAAATAGAAATAAAAGTAATCTGCGTGAACATGAATGCTTGTTTTCATTGATAATTATAACGACTTTTTTGTCATTACTTTCATCTCAGAGGATCCCCAAGCAATATAACGTAAAGCAGTATTATCAAATCTGCTACTGCAGTTTCCGAAGTGACTGATTAAATATTTACGTGCTCATCAGTGGCCCATGGAAACTGGCTGTACTTACAGAGTGGTTCTCGTATGAAATTTAGAAGGACCTCAGATATTAAATTTTAAAATGAGTTTTAAATAACATATGTTAAGTCCTGACTCTTAATACTCAATGAATTAAAAAAAAAAAGAAATTGTTTTACTTGACTGCAGCTTAAACTTCAAAACTAAGCAATATCAATCCATGTTTTCCGAAATGTAGAATTTTAATACAGTCGACTCACAACTTCCAGATCCGAAAAATCAAATATTGGAAAAAATGCTTTATTCTCTGACAAATTTTGTCAAGCATGTCTACAAGAGCTAGTTAGTGTACCTATGCTGTAGTCTTAGTTACTTTTATGTAGTGTTTTTATACTTTTGTTAAATATCTTAAATTAGCATAAGAGTTTAGTAGATTGGTTTTATAAGGGTTATAGGGTACAATTTCACAAATTTGGTGTTATGCACTATATTTGTATGCATAAATACTGTATATTCTCATAAAGAACACCAACCCCTATATTTTATAAAACAGTTGAGTATTGGGTCAGTATAGTTCCTCAAGCAGTTCATAACATTGAGAACATAATTGATAGTTTTGGAAAAAATGCTCAGTTAGTAGACAAAGATGGAAACACCTGGGTAGGGCACATGGTGTATTGAAAGCAAAGGTTTGGTACATGTTTATTAAACAAACAACATCCCAGCATGTTTAGAGTCATGTACAAAATTCTGGACAAGCCTGGTTGCCTGTAATCATACAGTAGCTACAAGACGAAATCCCAGTGTCTTTGGAAGAGTGATTGTAGGGGACCTTTTTGTGAGTCTGTGATCGAGACAGCACATTTTGCCGATGTTTCACGAGCAGTGTTGTCAGCTCACAATGATGTCGGCATGAATCTCTAAGAGAAAGACATCATCAGCAAAGGACATAAGTTGGTCGAAGCGCTGACTCCAGGATTGTGATATCTTTGCATGAATTCAAAGTACGAGACAAAACGGCCGTTTACCTGCAGATCAGTTGGCTGCAGATTTCAACCTGGGGTCAAACAGCAAAGGTTTTTCAAAAATGGTTTTCTGACAACTCCTCAATGCAGGATACAACAGTTGAGCTGCAGTAGACAAAGTGCTCATCAAAAAACCCAACACCTAACAATACATGTTGGTGAGTCCAGTGATGGAAAGAGTGCAGCCAGTGGACTGCAGAGCAGTAGAGAAATATGAAACACTCTTTCACATGAAAGACCCTTCCCCATGTTTTCAACAAATAGACTGGTGCACACGTGACATCAACTTGCAGAACTCTACATCCTTAAGTACGAGATCCCATCAATGAAGAGCTCTGGTGGTTCTGTAATTTATGGGGTACATTTTCCTGACATCGTTTTAAATGCACTCATTACTTTAGAAGGCAAGGTCAATACTAATTGCTGCTTAATGGCTCTGATTGATCCTCCTCTCCTGAGGGAGATCCACAGAGTACATGTGGTCACTTAATGTTTTGAAGAAGGCCGTAACAAATGGATCACATCAATGTCAATTTGTGAAAATAATTTCCAGAAAATATGACTCCCTAAACGACATTTAAGATGTTGAATCTTTTTGAGTGTTGGTATACTAATCAGCAGTAATGATTATTGTTCCTTTTTGTTTCCTAAATATTTTGAGAAACTTCAAAAATAAGGAGGCCACAATGTTTCATTTTTGTTTCCTTTTTAATTGACAGAGTTCAACAAATAACATGGAACTGTTAACATCATTAGAGGACTTGGATAACACCGCGTTTAGAGGGACGGAAAAGAAAAATGCATTGTCTTTAATTGGTGAGTTTTCAATCGGTATATACCGTTATAGCACTGTTATTTCACAAATCTGTTAACTCTCCAGCTTTGTAAATTTCACACTCATTTCCATGTAACTAATGAGAAGTGTTTGCTTTTACATTGAAAACTAGACACAGATTTATTATCGTCTTTTAAACATTTAAGTACAGTAGATAAGATAGCCAGCAGCCATGTCACCCTGCAACTTACAATTGGCAGCCCACTGAAGCTCAGCAGGTGTGAGCCTGGTCAGTACCTGGATGGGAGACCTCCTGGGAAAAACTAAGGTTGCTGCTGGAAGAGGTGTTAGTGAGGCCAGCAGGGGGCGCTCACCCTGCGGTCCATGTGGGTCCTAATGCCCCAGTATAGTGACGGGGACACTATACTGTAAAACGAGCTCCGTCTTTCAGATGAGGTGTAAAACGGAGGTCCTGACTCTCTGTGGTCATTAAAAATCCCAGGGCGTTTCTCGAAAAGAGTAGGGGTGTAACCCCTTGTGTAACCTGTTCTGGCCAAATTTCCCATGCCTCCTAATAATCCCCCTCTATGAATTGGCTACATTACTTTGTTCTCCAAAGTAAAAAAAGATTTCTCAGATTTGCAGTTCTGTACTTTGCACAAGAAGAAAAGGATAAGCTCCTTTGTCAAATAGTTACACATTTGACACTTTACTTTACTCTTTACCTTGTAGAGTAAATAGCAATTTTTTTGTGGTTAGCTGGCTCCAACAAAAAATAGACTAGATTTTAATCCATTTTTCTTTTCAAAGAAAAAGGACATTTACAAGCATTATAGTATAATTGCGGTCCTGTGTTGAATACTTATACAGAAAGTGTTTCATCTTTTTTATGTGTACTAATACACCTTCCATTTCAAGGCCTCCTTTTGTTGTTCCCTGAATTAGAAAACAGGTGCATCCTGTTTTACGCTAAACATAACTTTTAAGACTTAATCAATATAACTAGGTTTCTTAATAGGAATTGATTTTGAAAAGTAATACTTATGTTCCTTATTTCAGCTGACTACTATGGTAACATTTAATCATTGGTCCGTTTCGCAAATAAAACATAAGAGCACTGCTTTTGGATCTCTTCTAAGAGCATAAAAAATAAGCTTTTAGATTGTACTGATATTAACCTTTTGCAAATGATTGCATTTCTGTAAATCACTTAAGCTCCAGATGGAAAACTGAATATGCACTGCAGATTCTGGAAATACGTTGACACTAAATAATTGTTGATCAATATTTTCTAGCACTGTAATCTAACAAAAAAGTAATGATGTGTGTTCTGTCAATTGTATATTCCACCTAATACTCAGTACTTCTCTCAAATGTCTGTCAATGCAAATAAAGAGACAAATCCAAATGATGAATGTTGGGATTTTTAAATTTTTAAAAAAAGTTTTGCAGAATGTGTTAAAAGCACATGTGCATTCTATCAAATGATTCACCCTTTTCTGTGTTTCAGCAATGCGATTATACTGTTTTCATGTAAAAATCCTTTTTTTCCCCCCCCCAAAATGATTGACTTAGTGGTTTAGGTGGCATATGCGCTTGTGTTGTTGTTTTTTAACAGTGAGCTGTATTCAATATATAATTAAGGAATAACATTTTGGTCTTGCTGACCAGGTTCTCATTCCACGGACCGCAGCTCTCCACCTCCAGGGTATATACCGGATGCCCAGCAGCAAGTCGCCCACAATGGATCCTTCACCAGCATTAATAGCGAAGGGGAGTTCATTCCAGAGAGTATGGACCAGGTAATAGATAGTCCAAGCCTCCGTGCTATAACAGAACACAAGAAAGTTTCAGCCCACTTCCCTGTACATACTCTCTGTTTATCGATCAGGCACCTCAGCGGTATACTTTTTGAGGAATACCAATGAACCAGCTTTCTCAACATGGCTCGTTGGTTTTCTTCCAACACAAAGAAGTGCTTCCAGTTCTCTTTTCAGAAAAATCATCATTCCCATGTGTTCTCTGAACCTTGTCTCCAGATTTCTATTCCTTGTTTCCAGAATTGGAAGCAGTTGATTGCAGATCGGCTCGCTCCTCTCATGAGTTTAAAACCCAGGATTAATGTTCCTAAGTCCTTTCTGTTCCAGCTTTTTCATTTTTGTTTGTGTATGTCCTGTTTCATACTCTGGTTATTGTTCTGGATGTGTTTTACTGAGCTCTTGAGTGAAATTACAGTCACCACAGCATAAGGCAATATTGTGAAAGTGCATTATATTTTGTAACATTACATATGTTTCTGTGATTTCTGTACGGTTTCCAATATATCTCCCTGGAACCTACATCTAGCTTTGTGTTCTATAACACTGTCTGTCTATAACAAAATCTGTGATTTTTCAGTAGATGATATTGGAATCGTGCTGCGCACTACATAAAAACATTGGACTGATTCCACAGCACTATCTAATCATCATATTCATTCATCGTCTGTAGATGCTGGATCCTTTATCAATGAGCAGCCCAGAAAACTCTGCCTCAGGCAGTTGTCCTTCACTGGACAGCCCCTTGGACAGGTAAGAACTTATGTCACATCACTTGACTTGATTAATATGTAACAATATGTAACCTTGGGGTTAATCAGTTCATATTTGAATAATGGCTCACATAGCACTAGATTATGTAACTCCACCTCAGTGATTCAGTCATTTTTCTACATAAACCTTAGCCTGCAACCCTTTTACCCACTGAGACACCTCTCTAGAGAGAAAACCCCCACCCCTTCTTAAACAGTTGTGTCACAAATACTAACTAACTTTCCTTATAGCAGCATTTTCATGCCAAACAAATGGTTGGCATGTTCTACCAGCTGTGCTGTTCAGACCAACTTTTCCTTGATTAACTAATCTGTGTTCTCTTAGCTAACGTAATTAAAATAAGATTTCTGTGTCTCATGGGTATTTATGACACCCACTAATACCGCAGTGTAATATTAATCACATTACTGTGTGTAGTCTTTGCTGTTGTATGCTGTCTCCAGCGTAGAACTGTAGTAGTGGTGTGATTTAGCATTGTCGAGTGTCGTGACGTTTGGACTACCTTGTTAAAGCTTTGATTTATTTAGACCACAGTTTAGATCATGTCCTGCTTTCCCTGATGAAAAAGCATGCATTAACCAAACAATATTACTGTGACTGTAAAGGAACATTTTCTAGAACCGAAAATAAAACATTTTCTTGCTTTATTTCAGTGACAGTTACCCCAAATCACGTATGCCAAGAGCTCAGAGCTATCCCGATAACCACCAAGAGTTCTCTGGTGAGTTCTTTTATGTTTTTTTTTCCACTCTTTACACTTTGTAAGTTGAATCAAATCAGATCTAGATTTGATCCTCCTTTCATCGTTTTCTTTGGTAGCCAGATCTGCGCTGTACTTTCGAGATGTGCTGTTTTGTCTTCGGCCATAATGACAGTTTTACACACTGAGCAATTTTTGATTGTAAATGTGCAAGATTTTTTTTTTTTACAGATTACGACATTCCTGTGTTTGAGAAATTTGGAAAAGGGGGAACGTACCCAAGGCGGTACCACATCTCATTTCATCATCAGGACTACAGTGATGGCAAGTTACTTTATAAAAAAACGTGCGATTCTATCCATTATAAGCTATCTAACCCATAAATGTCACAGCATAGACTTTAAATAATGAGATTTACAATAGAAGGAGGCTGCAAGAATCTTAATATTAGTTTTGCTTCTAGCTAGAGAACAAATATGCATGGCTATTTATGCATTTATGAGTGTGTCAAACCTTTGTCAAAGACCGTAGTGCACCAAGCTGAAAAGACACTGAGATGAAGCAACTTCAGTGAGAAGCAGAAGGTGTCAAACGAATTTCTAAACATGTGAACCTGCTGATATATGTAGGATGCAGTACTTCTAGCTCACCAAAGGCTTTTATTTACAATAACGTACTAGCCTGGTGCGGGGTACACAAGCCGCATTTGATCAAAAATGTCTCAGTCTACAAGGTTTTGTGAAATACATTTATAACAGTTTTTGCACTGAAGTATTTTTGAGAAACTAAAATGTACCTGCAGCAAAATCACAGTACGCATTTAGTGCCTATTCTGCATCCGTTAACCAAATCTCTTGTAATGACTATAAAACCTCAATGTTGCGCCTGTGTTTTCTGCATACTTTTATTTTTGTATTCAATGGTATACCGAGGCCAAATTGAACCTAATCAAGGGGCTTAGGTGATCTGTTCAGCAGCCTTTGTTCATTATGATTAATGCGTTTATACCAGATTCATTCTTTAATAATTAATTCACTTTTTATTTACAATTAATGAATTGGAAATTAAATATTTATCAGAAACTGTCATGTCAAAGAGAAATGACTAAATCTTAGATTCTTAAATTTAGCTTTCCCGGTCAACAAAGAGGGACTGCAGCTTTCCTCATTTAACTTTTCCACCCTCTTAACTTTAAAAAAAGTGAGTGCTGAAAAGGCTGAGAATGCCATATTGTTGAAAAAAGCCGAAGCCTCTAGTGTCAGAAAAACTGATGAAAAACAAAAACGTCCAGCTTACATCACATATTATTGTGACTATTAGCATTTATTATTTTGCAGCGCATTTTTCCTAAATCAAGCAATAGAAATTAAAGCTCTTACATGATCATATCGCCATTAAAAAATATTATGGATCACGTGTGCAGATCGATGATTCTTTTCAAAACCCCAGAAAAGCTTCTCCAGGAAAAACGGTTTTTAATCCCTTTTAACACATCTCTAGTTTATTAGCCTGCATAGGTGGAGGAGCGGTGGCTCTGTGGCTCAGGATCTGGGCCTGTGACTGGAAGGTTGCTGGTTCAAATCCCGCGGCCGGCAGAGGAATCCTACTCTGTTGGGCCCCTGAGCAAGACCCTTAACCCCAGCTGCTCCAGGGGCGCTGTACAATGGCTGACCCTGTGCTCTGACCCCCAAGCTTCTCTCCCTGTCTGTGTGTCTGTGTGTCTCATGGAGAGCAAGCTGGGGTCTGCGAAAAGACGAATTCCTAATGCAACAAATTGTCTAGGGCTAATAAAGCAACATTATCATTATGATATTCTTCAGTCCTGGGATCTTCCTGAGGTATGGGAATGTAACGCAAAGGTTTTTGTGTTGCTCAGGGCGCAAGACATTCCCTCGAGCTCGGCGCACGCAGGGTAACAATTTCCGCTCTCCGGTGAGCTTCAGTCCCACCGACCACTCCCTGAGCACCAGCAGCGGCAGCAGCATCTTCACCCCCGAGTTTGAGGAGAGCAGGAGCCGCAGGAGGGGGAGTGACATCGAGAGCAACCCTACTCTCACAGTCATGGACATCAGCCCTCCTAGCCGCTGTGAGTCCTCTTCTGGAGGGCTTGGGTCACACGACTCTGGAGTCCATCCCTCCATCCCTCCATCCCTCCATCCCTCCGTCCATCCATCCCTCCGTCCATCCACTTCTTCCAATTTGGGGTCGGGGGGTGCAGGAGCCTTTCCCGGCCATTAACGGGCGCAAGGCGGGGTACCCCCTACCCAGGAGGCCAGTTCATCACTGGACAAACACAGACTCACACCTAGGGCCGGTTTTCATAGAAGCCAATCAACCTACCAGCATGTTTTTAATATTTCCTTACACTTATATAGCGCTTTTCTGGACGCTCCACTCAAAGCGCTTTACAGGTAATGGGGATCCCCTCCACCAGAAATGTGCTGCCACATCTGGATGATGCGCCAGAACACTCGCCACACATCAGCTATCAGTGGGGAGGAGAACAGAGTAATGAAGCCAGTTCAGAGATCGGGATTATTAGGAGGCCATGACTGGTAAAGGCTAATGGGATTTGTAGGCAGGATGCCGGGGTTACACCCCTACTCTTTTCGAGAAACGCCCTGGGATTTTTAATGACCACAGAGAGTCAGGACCTCGGTTTTACATCTCATGAGACCTTTTTACAGTATAGTGTCCAGGTCACTATACTGGGGCATTAGGACCCACACAGACCACAGGGTGAGCACCCCCTGCTGGCCCCACTTACACCTTTTCCAGCAGCATCCTTAGCTTTTTCCAGGAGGTACTGACCAGGCTCACCGGGTGAGCTTCAGTGGGTTGACTGATGTGAGTTGCAGGGTGATATGGCTGCTGGCTAAAAAACAAACAGAACTACCAGCCATCTAAGCATCAGTCAAAACGTTTTAGACCGTGGGATGAAACCAAAGCACCTAGAGGTTTTGGCAGACTTTGTGGGTCATATCACATCCTTAATTTAACTTTCCATCTACTTCATCTGTCTCCTGTATGCAATGTGTTTTGGCTCTGTACTGAAAACATTTAGAACAGATGCACATTTCTGTAAAAAATGTGCTGTGTTTTTACACATTCCTACTTATTAATGTATTGATACTTCATATTCATGGAATTCACATTTCATGTCAAAATATGGAAAAATAAGTTGGAGTGATGGAGATACACGATTGGGTGAGTCAGTACGGCACTAATGGAAACTACACGGAAGTACATTTAGAATCAAGAACAGGTGGCGGTGCTTTAGCCAAAGGATAGTGGGAGTATGGAACAAGCTCCCCAGCTATGTTGTAGAAGGGTACCATCTGGTGGCACGTCATTTGTTTGGCTTTCCGTTTAAGAAACGGCTGGATGAAATCCTTGGCTTAATTAACTATTAATTAAAAAACGGGCTCGATCAACCTGCTGGCCTGCTTGCGTGTGTAACCTTTATGTTCTGATGTTCTAATTTTTTTTTTCCAAAGCGCTGCCTTTGTGACTTAAAGCCTAGAAGCTGTATGTTTTATGCAGTGAATTTGTTTGAGCCCTACATGTATTTTTTTCTTGTTGCCTCAGCTCCACGGGCTCCTACCAATTGGCGCCTGGGGAAGCTCCTGGGCCAGGGTGCTTTTGGCAGGGTCTATCTGTGCTATGATGCCGACACTGGCCGCGAGCTGGCAGTCAAGCAGGTGCAGTTCGATCCCGACAGCCCAGAGACCAGCAAGGTGAGGTCCATACTTCTTTCTGAAACTCTGCCCTCTCCGGACAAATTGGAGGGGAGTAACAACGTAGATGCATGAAAGCTTTAAATTCAGGGAGTAGGTCAATATTGTGATTCTCTTGCATCACAGCTGTGTTTGTTGCCGTTTCCAAGTTATAAAAGCTCAATTACAAATTTCTGTTTAAAGACTGTTACAAGTAAAGGAAGGGATATACCTACATTTTGAGATTGTACCCTAGCATCAATAGGCATTTTGACTTTGTGCCCTTAGGGTGAGTTTTATCGGAAAACGTTTTAGTATTACTTCACGTTTCTTTGACACTTGATCTTTCTCTCTCGGTTTAGGAAATGTCTGTCCCATTGCTGAAATGAAGTTGTAACCACACGTTGTGTTTTTTGTTTTTGTGTAGGAGGTGAGTGCCCTAGAGTGTGAGATCCAGCTGCTGAAGAATCTCTTCCATGAAAGGATCGTACAGTACTATGGATGCCTACGGGACACTCAAGAAAGAACTCTGTCTATTTTCATGGAGTACATGCCAGGGGTAATGTATAGTTTGATTGTGGTATGCCGTCATTGTAGAAACCAGGTTTAGGTTGCTTAATACAGATATTAATGTTTATGTAAAAAAAAAAAGACAATTGACTGTAAGGCTTGCATATATATGTGCTGGACGTGATACATTATCTGTCAGTACAATAAAGCCACCTGCTGATGGAAATATTTATTCCCCGGCACTGAAGCTTACGGGAGTTTTGCAAAAATAAAAAACATGATTTAAAAAAGTTGTGCACTTCAACCCCATGTCATATTGCTGGACTGCAGTAAAAATGATTATTTTCGCCACCTAATTTCCAGGGCTCAATAAAAGACCAGCTGAAGGCATACGGCGCACTTACTGAAAACGTCACTCGAAAATACACCCGGCAGATCCTTGAAGGAGTGTCTTACCTGCACAGCAACATGATTGTACACCGAGATATCAAAGGTGAAAGCGAGGAAACAGGAATGGTTTGCCCAGGGCTTGCCATCGGTTTTATAAATTAGTTTAATATTTTAATTTTTTTGTCATTTCTGTTCATTTTTTCGAGCTGTTAAATATTTAAAGATCTTCTTGAAAAGTTCATATCTGTATTTTTAAGATTGCAGATGATGGAAGTCAACAGTAACAATGAACATTTAGTTAATTGTTTAATTTTTTCATTCTATCCAAAATATTAAAGAAGTTCTATAGAATGGTACTGGAACAAAGAAAACCTTGGTTTCAGTGGTTTTAGTCTTGTCTAGAGAGCAGAAAATGCTCATGTAGATATAATTTGCAAACATTTAAAGCAAAGGTGCAATATTTTATATTGTTTCATGGCATTCTGTTTTTTTTTTTCTTTTTGCATTGTTCTTTCATTATTTCTGTATAAATGAAATCTCCTTCTCACATAAACTAGGTCCTATAAGGTGTTTCCTTATTTGGAAATGAGGGAGAATATTTCATATTAAAGATAAATGCAAAAATGTACCCATTATCCATACATTTTAAATGTTACAACTGTTCAGTTCACAAATTAACATCTTCCAAAATTAACATTTTAATACTTGGTACTGTTTATGGAATTCAATTGTTTTTATATGTGACATTATTTCTCTCTACGCAGTTAACACTTCTGTTTCTATATTTGTATATTTTTCAGCTTATAAGTCTGTTATATTTGTGAATAAGGATTGTTCTAAAAACATTTGAATCGCTTTTGAAGTAATGTTCTCCAAATTTCTTATTTGTTAGGGGGAGAAATCAAGATCAGTAGCCTTCTGCTGTTGAAACAGTCAGCGTCACAAGTTGGTGTAAGCTGTTGACTAAGAATATTAAAATGTTTGTCTTTGTGCTATATCAGGAGCAAATATCCTCCGGGATTCTGCTGGGAATGTGAAGCTTGGAGATTTTGGAGCCAGCCGGCGGCTGCAGACGATCTGTTTATCGGGGACAGGAATAAAGTCAGTCACTGGCACACCATACTGGATGAGCCCAGAAGTGATCAGTGGAGAAGGCTATGGAAGGAAAGCTGATATCTGGCGAGTTGGAGTTTTGTCATTTTACTACAACTTCTGATCACAAAGTAGCTACGTTGAGGAGACGGTTGGGCAATGAATTGTACTTGAAAAGTTGGAAGACTATGCAAAATATTCTTATCAGGCAACTTTTGATTGGTAAGCAGTATTGAAGACATTGGATTGGACGACGATGCCTTCAGCTAGTGGTGTTCTTTAAGTTTGCCCCAAACGTTTCTTTGTTTATTCAATCACAAAAACAAAAAAATATTAATCCGTGAGTTTTCTCATTCTGAATAGTAGTATCAACATTGGTTTTTTTTTAGTATTTAAGATCTGAGTTTATTTTTAAATTGAGCTGTGTCATTTGGGTGTTGCTCATGTTAACATGAGATGCGGCGAAGAATACATTTTAACCTCCTCGGATTGCTGGTTAAACATCGACTTTGCTCGATTCTATTGCAGCCCTCGTGCCATCCTAAAGTAATGCAACAGTGAAGTCTTAGCTTTGATTTGCAATGTGAGGTAATAATCTGTTCTCTTAAAAATAAGTACAATTATAAAATATATATTTTTTAAAAAGTCAATTCAGATTTACTTTATTGTACGAAATGTTTAATCTTTTTATTTTGAAGGTGCAATTCTATTGGGACCAATTATTTTTTACAGATTAATGCTATTAGTCAGGTGTTTGCTGTAATTTGGTGTTGGTCTTTTATGTCATTTTAGTGTTTGCTATAGGTAGGTGAAAGCCAAAATGAATATCAAAGTCATTTCTGCAAAAGAAGTGCACATAATTAGGAACTGAACTGAAAAATTCAAATCAGCACCTTACCACAGAAACCTGGTATACTAAAATCAACAATTTAGGATATACTAAAGAAACATGAAACCTAAGGGATAAATACCAATCAGCAAAGACCAAGTCGGTAAAGAAAAACATCTTCAGTTCAAACAAGAAAAAATATCACAGGGAAAACCCTAAAATAAACAAATTAAAATAATAAATACCAGTGAAATTGCCAGCAACCTCCAGAGAGCAGGAGTGAAGGTATTAAAATCCACAACAGAAGACCATATAGCAGAATTACAAATGCTACAGTGCAAGATGTAAATCACCCAGCTGCTCCAAGGATAGAAACGCCAAACTAGAATTTGCTTGGAAGTAAAAAGAACAATCAGGAAATATTTGGAACCAAGTTTTAGGAACAGATGAGACCCAGTTAAATCTTTACCAAAGTGGTGGAAAGGTTAAAAGGTGGAGGAATAAAGGAATCTGTCCTCCAAAGAATATCATCCTATTGTGTGTGCTTTGCAAACAAGATGCCTGGTCACGTATGGCCACCAGTAAAACTAGTTAATTTGTCTTTATTGATGTAAAACAAGCGATATCAGAAGCAGAATTAATTCCGTTTATGTGGAAGAGAAAATGCTTCAGGACTTAATTGGCAGGTGTTACTTCACCGTCTGTAGCGGAGCTAGTTTGGGCACGGTGACGTCATCGCCCTCCCCGCGCGTAGCACCGGACCTCAGGCGTCTGGCTTGAAGGAGGTCTCCTTTAGCTCACTCGGCTGGTTCCCTGTTGCGTTACGCCGGAGACCCAGGTTCGAACCCAGCAGTTGCGGGACGCACGGCCGGGGTGGAGCGGCGAGGGCACGAGCCCACGCGGAACCGCGACGGTCACACATGCAGCATAAAATACAGCCTTACCAAGTTGCTCATCACGCAAAAAAGTAGAACACATTTCTATTTTGACCGGACTGGCCATGTCACTGGCCATGGCTGCAGCAAAGGGTCTCCAAAAAAGTTTGGCGAGTTCAATAGGTGGCAAAAATGAATCGCTGGATTGAAAACTGAGTATTGTTTTCTTTCAGCATGGTCCCATGTATGTATGTAATTGCCCAGAATTAAAACTTAAATTGTACTTATCATTGAGACTGAGCTCATCACAATTACAAAATTCTACACTGTTTTGACTTTGCTGTCTCAATACTTTTGGAGGGCACTGTTGGTTATATGACTACAATTAGGTGGTCTTCTGAGGTAATCTTACTTTATATGATCTTCCGAAGCAGCATCATGTCAGTGTATAGAATTTCTAATGGAAAAAGCACAGTTCTGTTAACTTGGTAACATACGTTATTTACTTGATATGGGTTATGTTTCAAATGTAAGGTTTTCATTCAGAGCACATGGGGTGGTAGCTATTGGAAATCAGTATATTATGCAGTTGATTACATAAGTTTCAAACCTTTTGATCCAGATTAGTTCAAATATCAGTACTGTTTTAATTGCAGTACTAATAATTCAATAAATTGAAGTCTGTTTTTAATCGTGCACAGCTTCCGACAACTTCACCTAATAGGTTTTTTAATTTCTTATATATTGTGAACCAATGCTTACTGACTCTTTGACTTTGGATCATGAATAAAATGCCTACAATTGATCTTAAATCTAACTGAAAAAAGCTGTTTTAAATAATAGAAATGCTTAATATTTCAAAATCTAAACTAATATAGCAATTCGGGATGTTGAACATGTCCAAAGGGGATCTGCATATGAACAGCAGAAACAAAACTGGATGATGCATGACGATAAGGGTGAGCACCTGCAGTCCAAGTAGCCCTCTGCAGCTTTTTCCAACCCAAGATGAACTGGTTATTCTGTAGTGTGGGTGTGTGGCCCTCTGCTCCGGTTCCTTTATTAATGTCTTCCTTGCTGTTGCAGGAGTGTGGGCTGCACGGTAGTGGAGATGCTGACACAGAGGCCCCCCTGGGCGGAGTTTGAGGCCATGGCCGCCATCTTCAAGATCGCCACCCAGCCCACGAACCCCCAGCTGCCGCCTCACGTCTCGGATCACTGCCGCGACTTCCTGAAGCGCATCTTTGTGGAGACCAAGCTCCGGCCGTCAGCGGAGGACCTCCTCCGCCACATCTTCGTGCACTAGCAGTCTCGCCCCGTTGCGTGGGGGGGGGAAGATGTTTCGTCTGCACTTTCTTCTCTCTTTTCTCTTTGTTTGCATCCCCAGAAGCCTCTTTACCTGCAAGAAAAGACAAAGAGGGGCTTTTACTCAGCCTGATTTAGGGAACATTGCACCTTAATAAAAAGGGTAAGCACCTGCTAAAATCTAAATATTGTGAAGTGTATTTTCAACACTTGTAACACATTGTGTACTTGTCTAGTTCTGGGTGTATTCTAGAGATGGGATAGCACTGGAGTGCTGGTTTGATAATCTGATGTGTTTCATCATGGTCTGTTGAACCTGGGGACTATGTGGTACTGTAAGTGTCTGCGAAGAAATCATGTCATTTTGAAGCATCAGCGCTGCGGTTTTTCGACACAAAGCAACAAACTGTTTTCTAACATCCACCCCCACGTTCTTTATTTTTCGTAGGTCTGCTGCTTAAACTACTTATTGTGTGCCTTTATATCTTTGGAGACTGTTTAGTTAGCTTAAAAGTTGAAAACATGTATCTTACTAGGAGTTGACATAAACATCTTCACTTTTATTGTTCACCTGGACTGGAAAGGTATGCAAGTTTTTTGCATCCAAACTTCAGTCCGTAAAAATGTTTGCCAACTCAGATGGTACATGGATTTTAAGGCTGACTGAAAGCAACCTGTGATTTGCTTGTTGTACTGCTGTTTGTTTCAGCGTCTGGTCTTTTTAATTCTGTCCTTGGCGTTTTCAGTCACTTTTACTAGATAGCCTTTGTAGGTTAATCCTATACACTTAATGGTTGGCTTTAATAACCAAAAACAGCAGATGAAGCCTTTAAAGATGTTGCATTTGGTAACAGGACGTGCGTGTCAGTGACATCTGCGAATGTGTCAGGCTTGAGAGAGTTAAGATAATAGTGTAGATTGAGAGTTTTCTGTTTCAGCATGGTAACCTTGCATTACTTTGGCATTCTGCAGGTTTAACTTGGGATAGGGACACTAGCCTTGTCATTGATGTTTGAGTATTCAAACAAATTATATTTTGCAAGCAGCAAATGTATCCTTCTTGATGTGTGTGAAGGGCATCAATTCTGTGTATTGAAGTCTAATTTTAAGGTTTATACATTATATTATATCCTGGGAGGCATTAAAAAGACAACAAATACCACTGGGTTCAATACTTACAGTTGTGATTTTAGTGCCTGTCAGTATATTGTGGCAGTGACCTTAATTTCTCTTCCAGTAGCAAAACAATATTTGTCTTTTGAACCAGGTGCCAAACAAGGGGGAAATGAGAATAAAAGACAGAATCTCAAAGCAAAACGTTTACCTATTGATATATGCATTGTTATCTTTCAAATTAGTCTGTTTCATTGAAAACCCCTTATACAGCATTATGCTAAGTATACAAATGTGCATCAAAGGGTTTGTAAGGGATTCAACATGTCATTCTAAAATAATAACCACAACCAATATTTAAGATGGTTGGAAATGTCTTGTTCGATGATAATGTTTATCTATTTGCTAATGGAAACTACACAAGCCCTGCATTTACTGTTACTAAACATTGAGAGAGTACAGATAAGTCATTTTGCATTTTGAATTGTTTACAAATTTATTGACAGCTTGATGATGGATCCACTTCTCGGAGGTTTTCAGGTGAACTTTGTAAAACTGGTGAAAGGAAAGGTGTCTGCTGTGAAATCCTTTATTTTCATGATTGTATGTGTATTTATTGTGAAGCCTGTTACCTTGCTGAGAAATTTTAGGTTTACAAATTGTTTCCTACTTTGCTGACGACTGTTTGTAGTCATCTAGATGTTGGAAATACAGCAAAAGAGCTCGGTGCTGTGGGTCTTCAGATGCACCTTGGTAAAGGGCTCAGTTGCTGTACCATAAGTAAGGGTTTAAAGACTGGAGCAAACCAGACAGATTTCTGTCATGTTTCTTTTACATGTAATAGGAAAAGTATGGTGTCAGAGGCCATACTCATATCCTGAGGTTTTTGTCAGGCACACCTATCCTTGTGATATTTGTATTTCCAGGAATGTTGTGATTTTTTAATGCTTTTTATATGCATCTTAGGAGGTAATCTGTTCCTTGCTAAAATACCGTATGTGCTCTTTATGATATTGGCTTTCCACATTCACCTTTACAGCCGAAACAGCCGATTTGGATGTATAACCAGTTCCGTGCAGAGATCCTGTTGTACATCACCTGACAGATGCAGGATTGTCCATTCCATTGGTAGGTTAGAGCATTCCAAAGCTGCTGTTGAGTTTGAATCGTCAGAGGTCATAGCTCCAAGGTTCCAAGGTTATTTGCTGAGCTGAGTCAAGTCTTGTCCAGTAGACGTTCCAGGAATAAATATCCAAAGTTATTTTTGCACAGGCCAGTAGGTGTAAATCAGAGTTGGAATTCTTAAAAGGTAAAAAGGCGAAAGGTCATTGTATGCAAAGGTGCAGTATTTTAAAGTTTACTTTTTTGTTTTAAATTCTGGATCAAGTCGCCAAAGAAGCACTGTACTAGGTACCCAGAATTTTGGAAGAGCTGGTAAAAATGGATCTTGATTTGCGCTGCATTTCTTTGAGTCTGCTTTAAAAATGGTACATGACGGCAGCACAATTGTGATACTCTTCTCCGCTTAGATGAGATCTGTTGTTTTAGAAAGTGGTTCCAGTACCTCTGTTAGTTCAGTGACTATGGGCAATGACTTTTGAGTGAATTCCCAGGAGAATCCAACCCCCATTAGCATTTTCAATTAGTATAAGCTATTTAATTATGCAATTTACCCCTTGCATAGCAATAACAGAAAGTTAAGACGCATCTAACTACTAGTTAAGCTGTTATTAAGAATAAATGTCTATAATATTTCAAATATACAGTTCCATTAACATTTATATTTGCTCTCTTGTCAACAGATACGGTGCAGTTAGAGCTCTGTGTACAGTATGGTCTGTGCCATAAATGAAAGCATTTTGTTCTCATTACAAATAGATTATGTCCTTTTGTAACCAGATGGCTCTAACCTCTCTCTCTAAAGTTATTTATGCTGCGAGGGGTGCCATTGGCTTTGGGATTGAAAATGCTGTCTGATTTGACTTTTTTTCTAGTACATCAATGTTGTGAAACCCTGACATGTCACATACCTTACTGAAAAGAATTACAATTTAGTCACCCTTTAGTATAGGGAGACTTTTCTTTACCTGCAGACCTACCTTTTTCTAATTGCTGTACCATTCTTGAACAGAAGCCTTGTAAAAAATCTTTATCTTTAGAGGTGGATGACACCAGTGCTTGTATTATAGCAATCCTCCACCCAGAAAAGACCTTTTGACCTGGAGTTATAATCCAATCTACCTGATAACCTGCATGATGATTCTCCTTAATTTTGGATTTTGATCCTGGCTTTTTTTTTTCACTTAGCATCTTCTGTTTTCCATGAACCGGAATTCAAATCTTAAGAACTGACCTTAGGCATGATATTTGAAGTTGTGTCCTCATGGAATATCAGTGCTGTACAGTTTTCTGTACATACACATCACATGACAAGATTTACCCAGCAAATTCATTCATCTAAATTGTATAAGGCCCTTATACAATTATAAAGAAGAGTGAGAGAAGTGAGGTAATACAGGAAGTTATTTGCAAATGAGAGGTGTTCAAATTGAATCTTGCTTTTGCTGCTATGGTTTTATTGACATGGGGGATGGCATTTTCTTGATTTGAGGGGAAGGACTTGTCAGTATCTGTTCTTTTGGGCCTGATTTGAGGATACAAAAGCCTTCAAGTTGTATGAATGTAGAAATTCATCAAAGTGTTAAAATCATCATGGAGTTTGAGCATGTGTGAAACAAGGCAATGATGTGCTGTACCTTTTTAAGGGGATTTGGCAGAAACACTAGTTCCTGATCAGGACTGAATGAAAGCAGAGTTGCTTGAGTTCAACACAAAACTCGGATCGACACCAGTCTCCATTAGTGCCTCTTCTTCATTTTTCCAAGACACTGTCATTCTCAGTTTTCAGCAGCTTCAGGTCTGCATCTGTTTCTTTGTCTTGCGCCAAAGTCTGTTGTACTGTACTCTATAATGATTTTGATACAAACTAAACAAAAATTGATGCAAAAGAAGCACTTGTCACCCATATGACATCTCAGCTACTCACAAGCCAAGAGATTTTATGATATTTCCTAGGTCAGGAAGTGATGAGAATGTTAAGTCTAAGCAGATGTAAGGAGTAGACTGACACTTACAATCAAATTTGTAATATTCACTTTATTGATAACTGTTTGGCTGGGGTGGTGATTCCTGTAACCTGTAACCCTGTAACTAGGGGTTTTCACTTGTATACCACACCCAACTTCAATATTTATACATTAGGATCCAGGTTTTGTTATTTTGGATTTTGAAAGATATTTTGGCAAACCAGCAAAACAAGAGTTCATGAGAATAAGTAAAATATTTCAAAAGCCAAATTCATGACTTTAGGGAAGATGACATCTCCCACTTATTACTACAAGGTGATGAACTCCATACTACTGCTCCTCCTACTGTTATTACTACTGTTATTTTATAATGTTGTAAAACTGATATAATACACACATTCCAAAAAGTCAAGCAATGTAAAAATTGCAGAACAGGTGTAATTATTTATATACAAATTAGTCTTTATGGTGCTGCTTATGTGGCTTCCTGTGGCAGACCCAACTTCATTACAAATGTTTCATGTGTCAAGTGATTTGAGTGAAGTGACTTCATTCTGAAACTCACTGTTGATCCTCTTTGATCTGACTTTATGTATTAATTTTGTAGAATTTTAGTAGATTTAATGTTTAATTTAGCAATGTTCCGAATATGTTTTACCCAAGTGCTCGTGTTTAATATTCATGTAAAACAACATAATTAGTACTCCTGATTAGGAGGCGGCACTTGTGTTTTTGACAGAGTGTTTACTCTTCAAATCTATTAATTTCCTATATCATTGCTAGGAAATGGGATATTTGCGTAGCAGTCACAAATTATGTACCTTGAGCAGTTACCAATATTTGGTCATGAAGAAAAACTGCTCAACCCCCATAAAGCAATTTGCAGAAGAATGTAAAAAAAATCGGACAGTAGGGAGACACAATAATTAAGTGTCGATGATTACTGTCAAACCAGTACATTCACAAGAAAACTATAGTCTTCATTGGTACAGGAACCACAAAACATTGCAGTGATCCACATAAATTTCATGTCCTTTATGCTGCTTCTTTTACATTGGGCAGTAGTAAGTTGTGTTTAAGTTTTATGTTTCTTAGTACTTGTTTATATAACTCAATTTGCAATATTTATTGGATACCACACTTAAAACCTTTAAAAACAATCAATAATGCTGCTAAAAAATGCCAGTAATTTTTTTCTATGGTCAAAATAAATAAAAAAAACAGGTGTTCAATAATTTATATTGTAAAAATATTTTAATAGACATCTATTCAAGTCATATTTAATCTTTCTTAATGCACATCTGTAAAATAAGTTTAAAAAATAAAGGACAATAAGTTGAATGGAAATGTAAAACTCTGAAAAACAAAACATTTCCTATCTTGTGATTGTATTAAGGCCAAGATAGGATTGTTGCCAAACTGAATCCATCAGCAGTTTTACAGTAGGTTTCTCCTGTGATTGTCCTGTGAAAATGTAGGCTTGTCTTTCACTGTGATGCGAGAATCCCACCTTTCATTTCCAAGAAAGTCGTTCTTTGGCATGAAGGTTGAAACAAGTCTCAAGTAATTATCAACAGAGCCAGATCCTTGCATGCACAATCGCTCTTCCTCTTTCATGCTCCTTTTATGTGTTTACAGTTGCTTGTGATGACATTGCATGAACCAGCGAGCACAAGACTTAAATCTGATCCTTTTGTGTCGTGGACTTTCCACCATCAGATTTCTCATCCTCTGTCCTGTGATATGAGCTGATGGAAGTCTTTACACTGCGGCTGTGGAACTGCGTATATGACCTTTTGTTCTGTCTGTGTGAAAGAAAAGATAACCGATTGACGTCGTGCCTAATATGTGAAAATGTGCAAGTTAAACACCAGTTGAACATTCAGATTTCTGCGAAGCTGCCATTAGCTGCACATTGTATTGTGTCTGCAGCTCATGTAAAAAGTGCCCTTGGAAATGAAGTGAGAAATGAAGGCGTTTATCTGAATTTTTCTCGTATTGACAAATTCCTAATAATTTCAATTTATTGCATTTAACCAAACTATAGCTAATTAATTTCAACAAAATTCCCAAGGCACTGCAGTCTTGGCCAAGCTAAAAATTTGAGTGTTTTTATCTTTTTGGCCCCTGTTACATGTGGCTAGAAAGCTTAAAAGGAAGAAATTAATGCTCTGAGAAAATAGTTGTTCCATTTTGCAACACATCCCTATTTTGTTACTTGAAGGGCATTTCAAGTCCCATGTCAAGGAATTGAAAGTACTTTAAATTCCTGCTTAATATTTAATGGCTGGTAGCACTCCAAGTACTGAGTAGTCTCTGCCAAGGAAACAAAATAAGGAAGAACTTTCTTCCCAGGCTATTTGGGGTAGATTTGTATTGTGGCTACAGTGCTTCAGTGATTAAAAACATTGGTTTGAGGTTTTCAGAACCATCAAGAATTAATCAAGCTGTAAAACCAGGGGATGGAGTACATGAGAAAGCATGCACTGATTTCTGGTAGTTTTCCATATGCAAAGAAAAATGATTTGCTAGTTCTGATTGCTTTTGTACATTCATTACCCAAAATCCACACTAGTTCCTTTTACATTTCCAAATTTTGGAGGACTAAGCTTCAACTCAAGTCGCTTAATTTCTTCGCTTTGGTCTATACTGTAGTAAGCGCTGTTATGTATTATGACTCAGATCTCAACAGTTTGTGAGTTCTAAGCTTCTCGTAGTTCCACTAGAAATACTTTGTCGCATGTATTGTATTACAATCTGTAGTTTGGACTTACCTGCTATTATTTTAAATATAGTGTGAAAAAGTGTGAGTGTGAAAAGATTGTAGTCTCAATTGAAGTAGACCCCTGTTAATATGGAGTGTATCCATTATATCATCTTAAGTGAGAAGGGAGTAGAAAATGCTTGGAAAACTCACTTAACAGTTGCGGTTATGTTTGAATCCACTAAGTTCCAGCCAATATGCAATTTTACAGTTTTGTTTTAATATAAGCCTGTTGTGAAACAGTGGATTATTGCGATTTGTCTTTTCGGATGCTATGCAAATACACAGATAGAAGCAATTACTTTCACCACATTTTGCATTTATGTGGTCTTGATTTAATCACTACAGTGATGGAATTTTTTAAGGCTTTCAACAAAAGAATTCCTATTTGATTGTTAAATAAATGGTGCTTCCAGTTCTTAGAGGCAGAATTGGAAAAGACGAAGTTTTGTACTCTCTGGGTAGTGATTAAAAAAGTTCTCTTTCCAACAGATTCAACTGGAATTAGCAGATATTTGTCTCATAACATCAAAACTATAAAGGGAATTGGAGAAACATAATTGGCAAAAGTGAATCCTAAACACTGAAGTCACGATAAATATACAATACATGTATCATAAGAGATAAAAATGTTTTGTGTTGAACGAACGTTTGTGATTGCGGTTTCCTGTATTTTCAACAAGACACCTATCCTTCCTCCAGTCAGCAAAAGTTCTTACGTTAATAAGAATTAAACCCCCACCCCCCCAATAAAAAGGTTTTCCTCATTAAATGTGGGTTTTACAGTTATACAATGTGATGCTGTTCTATCATGCAAAAAGTCTGGAGAGTAGCACTACAAATCCGATTTTAAAAACAGTTGCAGTTATTATGCCAAAAGCACTCTTTTATGTTATGTCTTGTAGTATCACTCTACAGAATATTGACCCTTGTTATAATTTCATTCTTATGAGTTACCCGGCTTCCAGTGCTGTCATCTTGTACCTTCACGAGTGCTTAAATAGTGCCAATTGCTTTTTTACATATAATATTTCTTGTTTTTAGATTTGCTGAGGAACTAAGTGCTAATTACACACTTAATCATTTCTCCTATTGGAGAACAAAACGAGTGGATCATGAAATCTTGTAAATATTAATTTGGAGTGCAAAAAAGTCTCCAGGTACAGTAAACAAATTGTATATTTAGTGTATCAAGGGGTACATTGTACATTTTTTTCTTATAAAGCTTTTAATTCTATATTTGATCTAATGGTTATTCTATGTAAATGTATTTTTACTCAATGTTGATTGAGTGTAGTGTATGTACAGACTTTTTTTTCTATTGTCAAATTTTTTGCACATTTTTTGAAACTGTATAATTTGTACACTGATTTAATACTCTTTCCAGTTAATGCTGGGTGTTTGGAATCTGGGTATGCGTGTGCACTTTAATGCTGTCTGTATGTCTGTGTCCTTTTTGGGGATATTTTTCTTCTTTGTTGTAAAGATACCTTGGGAGTCAGCAGCTTCCCAATCTGCAGCTGTTCACATATCTCTTTCAGTAGGTACGTTGAATAGAGGAAGAGTCCGTTTTGGAAAACGAGTCAGAAATTAAGTATTCAAGTTTGGATACAATCAGTATGGTACATTAGAAGCGCAAAGAAAAAAATACTTAATGTAGTACTTTACATATTGATTATATCATACACAAGTGATAGAATAACCAGAGACACTGCAACTAGGAACCTGCTGTAATCATTCTTTATAAATGATCAAAACCTTTTGTTTCCAGTGGGTGGCTAAACCTTACAGGTATTAAAGAACATACTTACCTGCCCCGATGAGTTACAGATTTCTTATAGTGCAGATTATTACACCACTTATGGCAAAATAGGTTACATTAAAAATTAATATGTATGTATTTCTAAGGCTGAGCATTTGTACTGTTATACAGAGCCAATTGCCAATAGTGATTTCACTAGACTGCTATTTTATTACTATCAAAGATTGCTTTTTCTGCGCTTGGATCAAAATAACCCGTTTATTTGTGCATTCATAACACCTTCAAAAATCTCTGGAAGAATAGAAAAGTTTCAGAAGCTTACAAATTGATTGGGACATTTTGGATGCCAGCTCAGATTCTGCATGTAGTCGTCTTCTGTTAATATCGCAGTTATCCTAAAGCCCAGAGGTTGTCTAAATTTTGTCATGCTCTAGGAGAAAAAGACCGTTTTATACTAGGTCTGGCTAGCTATGGGTGGTGGGCTGCTGACAGCCAAGTATTGAATGCACTGTTGAATGTCTATGGCTGTACTGTAATTTGTTTAGGGGAATTGATGTACTCCACATGTAAGAACACCATGGTTAGAGGATAGGTTTTACACTCCATGTGCACATTTCCACTATGACATTTAAAAATGTATAAATGTGTAAATTGAATAGGTACTTTTTTAATTACACTTCCTGGTACAGTTGAAATGTATATCCCACACTTTTGTTCTCTGTATCTATTGTAAAAGAAGCCATGTTTATAATTATATTTGGTTTGTGACCAATAAGCTTGTTTATATCAAATCTGTATATCAGTGGTACGCATATTTTTTTTATATATATTTTATTTTTGTTTTGTTTTTTAAGACTGATTTTATGCATGACGAAATCTGCAAGATTTAGTACACAAATGTCGAAGTAACAGATTTGTTGCTTTTCTGATAAAGCCCCCTTGTGGAACTTAAAGAAAATAAGCTTTCAAAGAGGTAGCCCGTCTGGACTGGTGAACATCTGTGATAGCTGGCACTTTGCAGAGTGTTAAATAATAATAAAAATATTTATTTCACCTTTTGTCTTCTTCTTGGCGGATTTGTTCTTGATCAAAACCTTATTTTCTTTAATTCTCAGTAGTCACGTTTTTATCTGTCTTTTCAGCAGTTTAGTGCCCAGGGGGGGTCTCACAGGTTCACTGATGTTAGCAGTGAACTTCTTTCATTCTACTGATCTTAATGACTGCTTTTTAATAATTTCTTCACCTCTGGTGCATGATCATTTTAATATAAATAGCACAATAGGTCTGTTTGTTATATCACACACACACCTGTATAGTAAAGGATGCTTAATTGGGAATCATTTTTTTTTTCTTACAAGCTCGGTTTTGTATTGGCCTGATTTAATCCACACACTTTCCATTTTCCGTATGCTTTCCATTTGGCTTTAATGTAATAATGTATTATTAAGAGATCTGCTTAAAACTGATTATTCCTTATTTTAGTTTTAACGAGTCACCAAATCTCTCAGAATATACAGTAAAATACATTGATTCAGATTGCACCTTGCCTTATTTTTTTACAAGTGTCTGCTTGACATTCTTAAGAACATAACATTTACAAATGAGAGAGGGTCTTTAAGCCCATCTCATTCAACATTAAATCACTTTCAATAACCTCTTATCCCATTCAGGGTCACTGTGGCCCGGAGCTTTCCCAGGAAAGTGGGGCAGGCCCATCTCAAAACCATTGAAATGCCACATCAGTCAATGTGTCATAAGACTGTATTTAACACTATTACCTCTGTTCGTAATTTCTGAAAAAATAGACACTGGGTGGACAAAGTTGCAAAAAGGAGACAGACGTCATGATCAATAATGACAGCGTAGATCTCATCGGTGAGTCTGTGATGTACTGTATGGGCACAAGCTGGTACGTGCATTGTTGAATATAGACCAAAGAAAGTTGGGGAAAGACTAAGGAATGAAATGGGTATGTTTTATCATGTTGGAAGAAGTGGAAAAAAATAGCGTATAAAGAGAAAAAACATTGGTTAAACTGCACTACCAATTAGTGCTTTAGGTATAGAAATTATATATACACAATAAATGAATGCTCCTCTGCTTTTAGCCCAGTTTTGATCCGTGCTATGGGCTAGAGTTACAACACACAAGGTTATTTCTTTTGTTCTCGGTGCAGTTGTCTTCTGTTGAACTCTACAGAGACTCAGGCTGTAGATAGAGGGTGAAGGTCATAAAGACAAGTCTTGCAATATTGGATATGGGGTATCTAGAATCCATACTGATTTCAATGATGCCACCTCTGTCCAAGAAACAAGCTATATTTCTTCAGATTTTCTTGAAACCAGGTACTAACACTGTCTTTCTTATTTGAACATATTTTGTTTCCTTGAATAATTTTTTAAAAATACTAGTACTCCATGTGCTAAGCAATGTTGCACTCTTATCTTTCCTAAAACCCTAAGAATAGGGATGTGGGTTAAGCCTTTGGTATTGATAATTTTTCCCATATTTTCTTATACTGCGCTTATAAATAATGAAGGTTGTAATTAGCATCTGAATTCAATGTCCTGTATGAAATGAGCTGTAATACTGATTGGCATGTATTCAGTCAAAAACTGAGAATGTCAGACTAAGACATTGCACTGGAGCAAGGCCAGCACATCTGAATGTAACACTTCCACTAAACAGCTCTTAAGATCCTGCATTACCTTGTTCAACCTTGCAGTGATACACAGTATTTCCTACTGCATAGCATTGTAGGCTACTTTTAGGGCCATTCAAATTTATTAAATATATTATCTAATCAGTTATTTTACTATAGGTTCTGCACAGCAGAAGGGATGTTACAGATATTGAGTTGAATGTGGCAGGGAGAAGAAGACATTTTTCTTCACAGACCTAACAATGAGATTCCTATCTGAACTACACCTTGGTACGACACATCATGAGATGTTAAACAATGTATACACACTGGAATTAGAAAACAACAGGGGCTCAAGCTTTTTTTTTTTGCCAGTCCTTGAATCGTATAAAAAAAAACACATGCCTGCAGACAATATTGAACTGCAACCTTTCAAATCAGCAGATTCAAGCACTAATTGCCTTTTTAATCTCAGGTATGTAAACTGCTCCTGTGCTACAGTATGTTACAAGTAGGAATCCTGTTTAGCTTGACTGTTCTTAGTGGTAACCAAAATGTAGGCGGCCTGAGACATTCCAGCATCTCAGATGTTAATTCTTCTATATTTCTAATTCTTCCATATGTCTTGAGCTATTTCAGTGTATATGTGTATTTGGTACACATTATATTTCAAAAATGGTTCCATGATGTTGTAGTTCCTTATTTTCTTCCCATCAACTGGTTTTGATCTATGTTCACTGCAAGTTCTTTATTGTAATCAATGATTTCTGTCTGCATCTTTAAAGCTCAATGAACAATATTTCCACTCTGTTGCCAGCAGCCATATCACTCTACAACTCACAACTGGCAGCCCACTGAAGCTTAGCTGGTGTGAGCCTGGTCAGTACCTGGATGGGAGACCTCCTGGGAAAAACTAAGGTTGCTACTGGAAGCGGTGTTAGTGGAGCCAGCAGGGGGCGCTCACCCTGTGGTCCATGTGGGTCCTAATGCCCCAGTATAGTGATGGGGACACTATACCGTAAACAGGAGCCGTCCTTCGGATGAGACGTAAAACCGAGGTCCTGACTCTGTGGTCATTAAAAATCCCAGGGCGTTTCTCGAAAAGAGTAGGGATGTAACCCTGGTGTCCTGGCCAAATTTCCCATTGGCCCTTACCAATCATGGCCTCCTAATAATCCCCATCTATGAATTGGCTTCATTACTCTGCTCTCCTCCCCACTGAGAGCTGGTGTGTGGTGAGTTTTCTGGTGCACTATGGCTGCCGTCGCATCATCCAGATGGGGCTGCACATTGGTGGTGGTGGAGGGGAGTCCCCATTACCTGTAAAGCGCTTTGAGTGGAGTGTCCAGAAAAGCACTATATAAGTGTAAGCATTTTTTATTATTATTATTATTATTATTATTATTATTATTATTACTTACTTCCCTTTGCCTCTCTTGTATCTGATTTCTTTTTGTCATTTTTCTGCAGTTTTTTTTTCTTATGTCTACTGTATTTCAGTGAAATTTTGTTGGATTTACTTTGTACTTTATTCTATATTTTGTGAGTCACTCTTGATAAGGGTCCCAGCTAAGCACATGAAGAAAAACAGACCGTGGTCAGTCAGTTCAGGAATGGAAATCTTTGCGTGATTTAAAGTACATGAAATGCCACAAAGTATCAGAGTGTGCGACCTGCTCTGGATGGGTGAAGCCCTCACAAGAGAATAAGGTATTTATCCCTCCCTCCAGCCTTGCACATTCTACTCTACTACTGAACATTGAATTACGGTAGATACCTGTTCTCAGCTTTCTGTGCATTTTAAGAAAGAATCATGTTTAGCGTAATTCATTCTTTTCAACATTTGGAATGTATAAATTCTTGCAAAAAAGTGTTTTATTTACTGTATGTATATATTATCTGACGTTTTCTTTTTCTTGAGACTTTATTTACATTTGCCCTGTACATTGCATTTGCCCCTAATGGGAATATTGTCTAATTTGCCTTACAAGCAACAGTTGGAAAGCAACTGCTTAATCTTTCAAGCTCTGGCAATAAGCATGGTACACACAGGCATAGTAAGAAATTAGGCCGAAAAACATTCTCTTTGTTTTGGCAAGGTTGCTTAGTCTTTTCAAACTCATATTTTGATTCACTGAAATAAATTTTCCAGTCAAATGCGTGGAAGACTATGGAGAGTCTTTTGACAAAACCTAGCTAAGGGTTTGCTTAGGTTAGGGTTAGGATTAGGATTCCCAGAAAACAGAGACAATTTTTAATGGTGTGGCTATGTTTTAGGACAGAAATGATATTAAGGAAAATAGTTATTCCAATATTTTCTAACCATTTTTTTTCACATATGTGCCTATATACAGTGCATTGCCCCAGAAGGGAATGTTGTCTAAATTGCCTTTCAAGCAACAGTTGGAAAAAAACTCTTTAATCTTCTCAAACTCTTGAACTAGGCATTGTATACACAGGTATGTTAACAAATAAGGCCGAAATTTATTATGTGTTTCTGACTCTCACGCCATTTAATCCTGAACCCATACTCATTCAGGACTCCATTTAACACATTTCCAATAACTGAATGCTTGTCCATAAATACATTTTCCATTCTTGATGCATTCTCTTTGTTTTGGTGAGGTTGCTTAGTCATTTCAGACTAATATTTTGATTCAGTGAAGTAAATTTTCCAATCAGATGAGTGGAAGATTGTGGAGAGTTGTTTGACAAAATCCTAAATCCTAACCCTAACCTAAGCAAACCCTTACCGAGACAATTGCTGAGGTTAGGATTCCCACAAAACTGAGACAATTTCTGAGGGCGTGGCTGTGTTTTAGGACAGAAATGATATTAAGGAAAACGGTTATTTTAATGTTTTCTAAACTTTTTTTTTTAACCTATATAGCTATAAACAGTGCATTGCCCCAGATGGGAATGTTGCCTTAATTCACTTAAAAGGAAAAGTTGGAATGAAACTGCTTAATCTATTAAAACTCTTACACTAGGCGTTGTATACACAGGCATATTAACAAATTAGGCCAATATCTATTAGGTGTTTTTGACTCTTACGCCATTTAAGCCTGAACCCATACTAATTCAGGACTCCATTCAACACAACATTTCCAATAACACAATCCTTCTCATAACTTAACTTGACCATTCTTGATACATTCTCTTTGTTTTGGCTTGGTTACTTAGTCTTTTCAAACTCCATTAAAATTAGTGAAAGATTGTGGACAGTCTTTTGACTAAAGCCTGAACCCTAACCCTAACCTAAGGCAAACTCTTGGTTAGGGTTAGGATTCCCACAAAATCTAGACATTTTCTGAGGGCATGGCTGTGTTTTAGGACGGAAATGATATTTAGGAAAATAGTTATTTCAATGTTTTCTAAACTTTTGTTCTGACCTATATAGCTATATACAGTGCATTGCCCAGAATGAATGTTGTCTAAATTGCCTTAAAAGGAAAAGTTGGAAAGAAGCTGTTTAACCTTTTCAAACTCTTGCAATAAGCATTGTATGCACAGTGATATTAACATATAAGGCCAATATCTATTAGGTGTTTTTGACTCTTACGCCATTTAAGCCTAAACCCATACTCATTCAGGACTCCATTCAACACAACATTTCCTATAACACAATCCTTCTCATAACTTAACTTGACCATTCTTGATGCATTCTCTTTGTTTTGGTGAGGTTGCTTAGTCATTTCAGAATAATATTTTGATTCAGTGAAGTAAATTTTCCAATCAGATGAGTGGAAGATTGTGGAGAGTTTTTTGACAAAACCCTGAACTCTAACCTAAGCCAAACCCTTAGCTAGGGTAAGGTTAGGATTCCCACAAAACGTAGACAATTTCTGAGGGCATGGCTCTGTTTTAGGGCAGAAATGATATTTAGGAAAACAGTTATTTCAATGTTTTCTAAACTTTTTTTTAACCTATATAGCTATAAACACCATTTAAGCCTGAACCCATACTCATTCAGGACTCCATTCAACCCAAAATTTCCAGTAACACAATCATTCTCGTAACCTATTTTGAACATTCTTGCTTAATCATTTCAGAGTAAAATTTTGATTCAGTGAAGTAAATTTTCCAATCAAATGAGTGGAAGATTGTGGAGGGTCTTTTGACAAAACACTGAACCCTAACCCTAATGTAAGCAAACCCTTAGCTAGGGTTAGCGTCAGGATTCTCAGAAAACATAGACAATTTTTGATGGCGTGGCTGTGTTTTAGAACATAAGTGATAATTAGGAAAACAGTTATTTCAATACTGTATATTGTAAACTTGTAACTTGAGTTGGCTTAACTGTCATGTTGTTGCAGTAATAATTGTTAATAATGATTAAGGTGGTTCATAGCTTATATTTTTATTTATGATAAATACACTTAAGTCACATAGAAATACACCCATCATTGGATGGCAATATCCTCAAATTATTTTGCAAAGAGAAAGTTCTTTTCAGTTTATATTTAATTCAAATTTTAAAATGGTGGAATGCAAAGAGATGCACATTGTTTTAGGATTTTGTGCCAAAGAATATCTTGAAAATAGTTTTTTTGTCAGAAATTGTAATAAATGAAGTGTTTTTTTTTTCTTACAGATAAGAGTTTTGCTGATCTAAATGTTTTTACTAGTCCAGCGAAAGATGATTTAATTAACCGAAGCAGGCAACCACGTGAGACAGAAGTTTGACAACTGAAAGAAGAGACGAAAAACGACAGTCAAATGAATTGAAGTGTTTAATGTTTACATTCAATCTTTTTATCTTGACGTGCATTTTGCAGAGAAGGGTTTTTGAAGATCATCATAAAAAAGGTAAGCCTTTAAATGTTTTTTGTTGATGCCTCAGCGAGTAGAGAAAAGCTTTTTATTTTTTCGTTTGACAGCTTTTTTTTGCTGTCTTGCTCAGTCTGTCATAAGGTGAATGAGATCTCGCTGTCATTTTGGGCTTCTCTTTGCCAGGTTTGCTTGGTTTTCCCCCTTGTGATGGGCCAGATGATGTTCCACCGGATCCTGCAGGGGCAAAATAATCTGAAAAGGAGGGCATAGTTATGTCTGCTTCGAGTTTCTGTCCCAGTTTTGGACTCTCCAAACCAGTGTCAGTGACATTAACAGTAGCTGGATATCGGGGGGTAGAAGGCTGTGCCCTGCTGATTTCTTGGGCCAATTTTAGAACAGTAGGATCCACTTCAGGATCTGGTGAACTTAGAGCTTGCCCAGAGATCTGCTCCTGATTAAGAATGAAGGCCCTTGATTGTGTGTGGCCCACAGGAGCAATGTCAGAGGCTTTTGAAGTGATGGTGCCACTGTGATGGTGCTCGTCTTCCAGTTGTAGCTCTCCATCTTTTCTTAGATCCTCTGTGATCGTTTTAAGTTCCTCTGACAAACGTACGTCGGTGCTCTCGCATGGTGGCTGACTGAACGTTTCCCGAGTTCCGGAGCTGAGCAGCCAAGGTACAGTCTTGAAGGAACTGATTTGATCTGAATCCACGCCTTCCCTGTTGTCCTCCCGCGACGATCTCCATGTTGTCAAGACACAGGAATCCACTACACTGTGCTGAACGTTCTGTGCAATGCGAGATTTAGTTAATTTAGTAATATTATCTACTTACGGTTCCCCGCATTATTTATAATCGTTGGCACTTTAAACGACTATTTGAATTCATGATTTAGTTCTTTAAACTTGGTGATCCAGGGTCCTGAATTTTATTCCGGACTGGACTCTGTTCTCCCTATTCTCCAACATGCCAAAGACATGGTGATCATGTTAATTGGTATCTCTAAACTGTCCTGTTGTGTGCAACAGACCCAAAAACATATAATAATAATAATTCCTTACACTTATATAGCGTTCTTCTGGACACTCCCCTCAAAGCGCATTACAGGTAATGGAGACTCATTTCCACTACCACCAATGTGTAGCTCCACCTGGATGATATAACGGCAGCCATAGTGTGCCAGTACACACACCACACACCAGCTATCAGTGGGTAGGAGAACAGAGTGATGAAGCCAGTTCATAGTGTAAGATGACCAGGGGAAGGGTCATTCATAACCGGTATTTTTGGAATGACCTACTTAATATACTCGACATAGACCTGAGCAAAATGGCCACCAAGAAGAACCAGCTGACCCGTATTTGGAAAGGGTCTACCCAGAGAAACAACTAGACACAGCTCAGCCTCATCGGGAACCGAAATATAAATGTCCTGGAGGCAGTGAACCGGCGCGGAAGCCAATAAGGTGAAAACGTTTGGAGTTAACACGAAGGTGTAAACCTCTGTGTCACCCAATAGCAAGTTTATATAGATCTACTGTATACACTTTACATACACTTTCCAGTAATGTCATAAAGTGTTTAAGATTTTGGAGAGGACTGTACTGCCATACTTACTTTATCTTGATCCTGGGCTGGCATGTTCTTAGAAATTACTGACATTGAGGAGCTCTTGGTCAGTGAGACCGATACAGAAATGATACCACCTGGGACAACAGGCACATTTGTACGCAGTACAGATTCCTTTTCTTCTTTTCGGTCCTCAGCTGACTGACCCCCGTCATGGTCCACTCTTTGACTGTCAGGCCTTGACAACCTGGATGTCTGGCTGTCGGTTTGGTTGGTTGGAGCTGGAGAGGTGCTCAGTGACAGAGAAGACAGCTTTTTGTCCAGTGACTGTAAAGAATCCTCAGTCTCTTTCTTAGGTTGTAGTTCCTCCTTCTTCAGTTTAGTACCAGTGGAGCAGGTTGCTGTACCGGCTAATTGTAACTCTTCTGTATCTGTTTTCTCCAGAACATTGTTTGCTTTGCTGTCCTCTTCAGGCACTTGGTGTTTTAAAAGACCCGCAACATCTACGGTTGTGTGTTCTCTCAGGCCTTGTTCAGGATCCTAGGTAATAGAAATGTCAGCTGTGTTTAATACAGAAAACATTGTCTATTTATCAATTACGTTTCATTCTTATTGACTGTTTTTTTTTGACAGATTTTTGAAGAATCCACCATTCTCTACCACGGGTGGTGCGGTGACTCTGTGGCCAAGGATCTGCGCCTGTGTCTGGAAGGTTGCTGGTTCGTATCCCACGGCTGGCTAAGGAATCCTACTCCGTTGGGCCCCTGAGCAAGGCCCTTAACCCCAACTGCTCCAGGGGTACCGTATAAATGGCTGACCCTGCACTCCGACCCCAAGCTTCTCTCCCTGTCTGTGTGTCTCATGGAGAGCAAGTTGGGGTACGTGAAAAGACAAATTCCTAATATAAGAAATTGTATATGGCCAATAAAGTGATCTTATCTTTACCTATTCTACACATCTCTTAGTTCAGGAGCTTTTACCTTATATCTCCTTCTTAATCAGCCACCCTGATACCTCCCTTAAGCTACACTATTAGTCTAGTGCATCTGCTCAAGAGTCCCTCTTGATCAGCCTCTGTGCCAATGTCATTGACCCTCTCCCACTCATCTAGAATCCTGTGGCATGCCTGGTCTTTTCTCTTCCTTGCTTCTGAATGCTGAACTAGTTTAGATCCCCCTTGCTTACTGTGGCTGCAAAAAATCTCATTTAAAACCCTAGTTCTTCCATACCATTGTTTAAAATACTCCTCCCTCATATTTCTCCCTGCACTTCTCACCCTCGCTGTTTCTCTTGTTCCACCAGACTTTCTTTATCCCTTCTTCTCCTCTGATAAATCCAGAGGTTGTTCGTTATCAGCCCTTACTTCGCTTTATCAGATTGAGTGACCCAGAAAAATCAGAACTGTTTCTCCTGATCTTCTTCTGTACCTGACTCAACTTTGCAGACTGCACCTCTGGCATCTCAGCCCTCACCCACACCCCACAGTAACTCTCAGTAAGCAGAAGTGTACATTCCTATTTGCCCACTTTCATTACTTCCCATTTTCGACAGCTTGTCGACTGTTTTAATTCGGATTATTCCATTTGTGAGGCAAATATAATTTTTCCACAGTTTGTGCTAGACCTAATGTCATTTTCCTTTCCTGTAAATGACTTGATGGCTAGCACCAACTGTAGCTTAAAGTCAAAGTACCTTGTATATGGCCAAAAAAGTGATCTTACATACATGATATTTAAAGGTATTACTGACACTTCTTCAGGAAGCTTTAATAATAAATATAATAACTAAAGCATCTGCTATTAGGTTATATTATATTATTACACTTTTGTGCTTGTTTCCACATTAAAAATATACATTTTGGTTTATCTGTTCTTTATAATTCTTGTGGTTTCAACACAGGAATTATACTCCACTAACATTTTTCATTGTTGCTGCACCAGTGATTGACTGATGCAGCGATTGACAATTTGAAGCCGTGGGAAACCTCTTGCACGTAGTTGCCTCTTGTTTTATTTTTACTGTCAAAAACTGAACAGTCCGAACATCAGACGCCACAACTAATGCTGCTATTGAACAGAAGCTCGAGTGGAGGTCTAATTCTAATCTCGCACTTCTGCTTCCTTGTGCATAAAAGAGCACTTCTTTTCTAGTTCCTCTTCCTCCACACCAACGTCCCCCATCTCCAACCAGTGCTGTCAGGCTTTCCTCAGCCAGGCAAGTTAAAGCCAAAGTACTAAGCACACTATCCCTTCATGTGTCAACTTGTTTCACCATTATACTGAAGATACAGAATGTAAGAGCACAGTTAAAACCAATAAAGAGAAAAGGACTTCCAGATTATCATAGTGGGGAAAAAGAGGTTCCAGCTGGAACACAGCACAGGCCCTCTGGGAGACTGCTGGTTCAAATCCAGAGTACATTAATAGATGCTTTTGGTGGGGAGATTCCTGTTGGATGCTAGGGTAACCTCACTAGCCTGGAGATCTTTCAGGTTTCATTACCAACTCCTGGGGCTCAGTAGTTAATGTCAACTTGGTAGCACCCAGTGCACTGTGCACCAAGAATCACTGTGACTAATAAAAGTCTGTGGTATGATCCTGTCAGTCTCTCCTGGGCTAGCAAGGGTGTGTCAGCACAGCCAGATCGAACAACAGTTAATTAACAGAATTTCAAATTGGCGAGTATAAAAAAAAACACTTTTCTTTCTAAATCAAACAGTAAAAACAATGATATAATCGTACCTCCTGGAAGGACACGTGTTTCATCAGTGGAACAGCAACATCTGTGGTTTGGAAAAACACAAACTTTAAGTTAATGAAAACTTAAATTTCTATTAACTTAGTGATGACAAATAAATTAGTGATGACAATTATGATTAGGGGGATTTAACGTAATGTTCTAGAACTCTAAGTCAATAGCACAGTTTCAGCTCTGGCTATAGTTAGAGGTACTAAAACCTCTTTCAAATTAAGTTCAAGGTTTTGTGAACTTGGTGATCAATGCACGGCTGGTTCCGGACAAGCAAAAGATAGATAAGTCAGCCTATCAGGAAGATAAGACTTGAACTTTTATTGCCACACAATGTGGAAGAAACCGTAAGAGGTACCAATAAAATGTTATAGTGAGCCAGCGCACCTCTGCTCTTGACCTCTGGGGTTACTGCGGCCACCAGGATGGGGATAAGAGCTGCTGCCTTCTTCCACTTGTTCACCTACAGGAGCCACGCAGATACAGACAGGCGTAGCAACCAAGGTATCAAATCTATACAGACTCTGGTGAAGAAATGTGTAAGGTTGCAAGGACAGTCAAACCTATAGACAATTAAAGAGGCTAGGATCAGCCAATCTAAAGCTCAAAAGCAAATGCAAAACCCAATTAAATGGGAGTTCAGAGCGCTTTGGGGATTTATTTACTATGCTGTTAAGTGGATCGTCATGCACTTCTATTTGAAGTTTTTTTTTTTTGAGTCTCCCACTGCTTCGATGTCTGCAGGACATTCAGAACAGTTAGTTGGGATTCACTTCATTTTTCGGTTTGAGTTCTCCTCCTGCGTGCAACTGGAAGAGCCATTTGGTATTCATTTGAATTGTAATAATAATAATAATTCATAATTGCTTACACTTATATAGTGCTTTTCTGGACACTCCACTCAAAGCGCTTTACAGGTAATGGGGACTCCCCTCCACCACCACCAATGTGCAGCATCCACCTGGATGATGCGACGGCAGCCATAGTGCGCCAGAACGCTCACCACACATCAGCTATCGGTGGGGAGGAGAGCAGAGTAATGAAGCCAGTTCAGAGATGAGGCAGTGGTTCTTAACCTGGGGTGCGAGATACCCTTTTCTGGGCCCTTTTCAGCTGTCAGTGGGGAGGAGAGCAGAGTGATAAAGCCAATTCATAGATGGGGATTATTAGGAGGCCATGAATTGGTAAGGGCCAATGGGAAATTTGGCCAGGACACCGGGGTTACATCCCTACTCTTTTCGAGAAACGCCCTGGGATTTTTAATGACCACGGAGAGTCAGGACCTCGGTTTTACGTCTCATCCGAAGGACGGTGCCTGTTTACAGTATAGTGTCCCCGTCACTATACTGGGGCATTAGGACCCACATGGACCGCAGGGTGAGCGCCCCCTGCTGGGGCCACGTAATTTTGGAAGGACTTTTCTTCTTGTGTGCTATCTGTGCTTCAAAACAAAAAATCCTTCCACTTCAATAGTGCTTTTCTGAACATTCCACTCAACGCACTTTACAGGTAATGGGGACTCCCCTCCACCACCACCACCAATGTGCTGCGCCCACCTTTAATCAGTGCATGAATATTTCTTGACCTGCAGTACAAGTGGCACCCCACTTCACCTCTCATAATGCTTTGCCTTTGTTTCTTTCTTTCAAACCGGTGAGATGCTGTCAACCACACGACGGCTCTTGGCTCCTGTTCTGGTACAACAGTCTGATACGTTTTACTCTAAAGCCACACAAAATATAAAACCACATTTGTTCCCTTACCTTGAACTTCTTGTACATTCTGGGGGGATTATTTTGACGAGGTCCTTTTTTCATCACCAATTTCTCGATGAACTGGATAGATTCGCCTCGCGTTTGGAAGTTTTCGTAAACCTTCTTGAGCTCATTCAACCTGTGGCCACAGATGGGATCACTGATTACAGGACACAGTTTGTTTGTGGGGCTTTTAATTAACTTTACATGTGGGAAGAGACGTAAAAGAATAAAACAGAACACACTCCCAAGACTAAAGTATGCGCACACTGTAAAATCTCAGTGTAGCCACGCATGCAGTTTTAATCAATACAGTAAGTGTCAGGAAACCAATTGGTAGAATAGGAGGATCCTTATGCGGAACCGTGAATCCCGCTTAATGCGCAACAGAACAGGCACAATCCAAAAGATATAATCCAGAGGCTTGGTCAATTAGGGAGGCAATGAGCCCAGTAGACACGAGACAC